TATTTCCTCTCTAAGCCTTAGTACCTTTGTCACGAATCAAAATGAAACTAATTAATCTCCCTGTTTATGGCATAGGCTGAGGAGTAAAAGAGTAAAGGGATGCAAAAGTTCTTTCAAAATGCTATAAATTCAAGATACGGAAAACCACCTGAAGAGATAGCCTGAGCCTTAATTCAAACCCCTCTCACCTTTGCTCTTGGATTCCAGGGTATTTGAAAAGGTTGCCTTGGCAACAATCCTAGTCTTGAGGTCAAGAGCCATAAGCATGAGACTTAACAGCTGAGTGACCCTGGGCAAGTCATTTTACTTTTACAGATCTCAGTTCTGTCCTTTATAATTTACATATTTATAAATTTATAATTTATAATTTGGGGCTAGGCATCGTTACCTGCTTCACAGGGCTGTTGGGAGACAGAAGTTTGATAAACTATAAAGCACCTTCAGAAACGTAAAGGTCTCCAAGATAAGAGGAGATTATGCTTGTTACACTCCCTGATACAGAAATGGATAAAAAAAAAAAACCTTTCGGGAGAGAGAGCTTGGATGTATGTATACTGCTCCCTGATAGAGGGAGAACTGAGCCACACCCATCACCATGGGGTTAACATCCTGTGCCAATGACTGATTTCAGACAAAACTTGAAGCTATTAAAACTGGTAAAACAGGTTAATGAATGCCACTGTAGAGGTTGCTGGGTCCCTGGATGGGGGCTAAGTACTTTTTTTTTTTTTAACAAATATGATCTCATTTGATTCTCACAAAACCCCTGGGAGGTAGATGTTAATCTTATCCTCATTATACAGCTGAGGAAACTGAGGCAAACAGAGATTAATTGACTTGTCTAGGATCTCACAATTAGTTAGTGTATGAAGCTAGGTTTGAACTCCAAGCTTAGTGTCCTCTCCACTTCGACACCACCTACCTGCCTCTTAGATATCAACAATCAAAGACCATCAGAATTAGAAGAGCCTGTAGAACATAGAACATCAGAGCTGGTCCTAGAGACTGTAAGACCCAATCTCATCATTTTACAGAGGAGAGAAGTGAGGCCCAACACCTCTAAATCCCATTAGAGATCCCTCCAAGAGTCTCAGCTCTAAAACATTTAAGGCCCCTTCCGGCTCCAGGTTACTTCTAGCTCTAAATCCTATGAACTCACTGATAGCCCTAGGGAGAGATGGAGAAAGGGATGAATTTCAGGGAGACAGGAATCTGGTATGAAAAGCATTCACCACATGAGGATGAAGAGTATTTTCTGCTTTGTTTTGTTTTGTTTTGTTTTGTTTTGTTTTATCCAGCAGGTCCCTTAGTGCTGTTCTTTCTAACACTTGTAGGGGCCATGGCGTTTCAGGAATGGCTGAACAAGTTATGGAAAGTAATGAAGAGAATGGTTTCAGAGAGGCTTGAGAAAACTTGTATGAACTAATGCAGGGTGAAATGAGTAGAATCAGGAGAACAATGTATGTGATAATAACACTATTATAGAGACAAATGTATTTGAAAGACTTCAAGGAAAAGACCATTCATAATTGCAGAGGATTCATAGTGAAATATGCTGCCAGCCTTCTTGTGGAGAGGTGATGGAATCAGAGTGCAGATTGAGACAGATTCTTTTCTTGTTGTTGTTTTGGGTATGGACAATGTGGGAATTTGTTTTGCTTGACTATACATAATGTTTGTAACAGGGTTCTTGTTTTTCTTTCCTTAATGGAGGTGAAGGGGAAGTAGGAGGGAGAGAATGTGGCTCTTTGTAAAAATAAAATTAAGTTGAATTTTAAAATAAAACAAACAAAAAACCCGTAAGGATCAAGGGCCTTCCATTACCTACTGAGTGCCTCAGAACTGGTGCAGAGGAACAGCAGCAGTTTCCTCTAAGGAGCAGAAGGGTTACCCAGAGATACCTGCTGAGCATTAGATACAGAGGATCACAGAACCACAAGCCCTCTCAGTAGTCACATTGTGATTGGAGGAAGGGTGGCTATTAATGGCTCGAATCAGGACCATGAATGATACAGCACTGGGCTTGGCATTTGTGGGACTAAACAAGATCACTTCTTGTTTAAAACGTCCCCCATTCTCTCACCATTGTTCTCGCATTTATTAGTTTATGAGTTACTTCCTTCATTCATACCCTCATCCCACCCTATCTGGACCATTGCAACAGCGCAGTGGTCTTTAATTGCCAAATCTAATAGACTTTTCTCAAACCCCACCCTCCGTGACATCTCTGCTCCATTTGATGTTGTTGACAACCTTCTCTTCCTGGATATTCTCTCCTCTCTGGGTTTGCATGACACTGCTCTCTTAGCTACCCTCATACCTGTTGAAGCACTCTTCTCATTCTCCTTTACTGGGTCTCTATCCATGCCACACCTACTAACTGTTGGTGCACCAGACAGCTCTGTCCTAGGTCCTCTGCTATTTCCAATCTAAACTATATACTTGGTGTTCTCATCAGCTCCCACAGAGTCAATAGTCATATCTATACAGATGATTCCCACATCCATATATCCAGCCCTAACCTTCCTAGTGAAGTCTAGTCTCATATTACCAACTACCTATTGGATATTTTGAACTGAGTATCTCTTGAGTTTTAAACTGTAACATTTTAAAACTGAACTTTCTGGACTTCCCACATAATCTCCTTTGCCACTTAAAGCTCTTTAGAACCTGAGACCTCCTTTTCTTTACCATCTTCTTACACATTATGATTCCCTTCCATGCACTCTGTGGTCCAGTCATCCTAGTTTTCCAGCTGGTCCTCACAAATGCCTCTGCGCTAGCTATGGTCCCCAGCACTGGAATGCTCACCCTCTTCACCTCTGCTTCTTAGAATCCCTGGCTCCCCTTGAGAGAGGCCAGATGCCATCTTCTGCGGGATGTCCATTTCAATCTCCCCTGGCCTTAGACCTTCCCTCTACTCTGTATGTATCTGTTTAGAATGTGAGCTTCCTGTGGGGCAGGGCTTATCTTAGTGTTTTTCTTTTTATTTCTTGAGCTTAGTATAGTACCTTGGCACATAGAAAGTCTATAGTAAAAGTTAATGACTAGAGGCATCTAGGTGGCATAGTGGATAGAGCACCAGCCCTGGTGTCAGGAGGGCCTGAGTTCAAGTCCGGCCTTAGACTCATAACACTCACTCACTGTGTGACTCTGGGTAAGTCACTTAACCCCAATTGCCTCCCCCCCAAAAAGTTAATGACTAATGGGGGACTTCTTACCTTTAGTGTCTCCCCTTCCAATTTATGCTGAGCCCTCTACCAGTTATCTTCCTAATGAATAGGTCACTCTTCTCAAAACCCTTCATAGCTCCCTATTACCTACAGAATAAAATCCATATTCCTCAATCTGGCTTTTGAAGACCCTCCATAAACTGACTTCAACCTCCCTTTGCAATTTTATCTCTCACTTTACTTTTATCTCTTTTACTTTTTTATTTTTATTTTATTTATTTACTTTTATTTTATCTCTTCCCTTTACTTATTTTATATTATGGCCAGATCAGATGACACCAAATTCTGGAAACATTTCCTGCCTCACGTCTTTGTTCGTGCTGTTGCCTGCTCTTTGAAAACCCCCTTCTCCCTCCCATCCCCGTTGGTTGAAATCATACTCACCCTTTAAGCCCTGATCAAATGCTGTTCCCTCAAGCAGAGGGTAAATGGCCTACTCTACAGAACTCTTAGTTTGTATTTCTTTTGGCCCTGATCCCACCAGTCCTTGTATTGTAATTACATAGATGTGAATCTTATTCTCCCTACTAGATTGTGAGCCGCCTAAAGGCAGGATCTACATCTGAAACATTTGTTTTCTCTACAGACTGGGGCTCCACACATAGGAGAATTCCACAGCTAGAAGAAGCCTCAGAGATCAGCTGATATGGGAATAAGTTCTATGACATCCTTGGCAGGTGTTTAATTAGTCTGTGCGTGAATAACTCCCATGATGGGGACCTCATTAACTTACAAAGTAGCCCACTCCATTACTGGAGCTTTAACTATTAGAAAATGGGTGGAAAATATTAGAAAATTCAGTGGAAATCTGCCTCCCTAAAACGCTTACCCTTTGATCCATATCCTGCCCTCCTTGGACATATAGAACAAGTTTGTTTTCAGTTCCACACAAAAACCCTTCAGATAGAGGTTACATCATACCTCCACCCTTCTTTTCATCAGGTTAAATATTCCCAAATCCTCTGAATGATCCTGATATGAATAGCTTTCTAGTCCCCAACCCCAACCCCAATCTGGATTAGAGTAGAAAAGGACACCACTACAACAGTGATTTTATTATAATAATAATTATTATTTTTAAAAAGTTTCTTTGTAAATCAGATTTACAATTCTCTCTGTGTAACTAAGCTAAATCACCTTCCCAGGGTCCCTAAGGAAAGGGAAATGAGGTTAAAGTCATAGGTGAACTATTCAAATACACCCACCCCCTGCTGCATACCTGCCTCCCACCCCCTGAAAGCCCCTGCCCCTCCATCAACCTGTTCATCAAGGTGTAAGAAGACAGCTTGCCACTCCAGCCTCAGGGGCCTTGGGAGAGGACCAGGGCACTTTGTGGGAGTGTGCAAAATTTCTTCTGAGATTCAGATGGCAGGGCCAGAATGGAAGCAGGCCCTCAGCCTTAACTGAATTCAGATCTGCGGAGGTAAGGGCCTTCTATCTCCCTAGGGAAAGACACCTTTCAGAAGGCTAGGGAGACAGGGAGCTGGCGCTCAAGGTGGGGGAGGAGCTTCGTTTACTGGCACTGATTTGGTTAGACTTCATGTAAGAAGGATTTTGCCACATCAGGAGAAAACAAGTAAGAATTAGATCTCGGGACACTTTGGAGAGCCCTGAAGATCAGAGGAGCAGAACCTGAAACAGGCTGAGGCCAGCTTGCTGAATCTAGGCCCTGCTCTGGTATTATTGAACCACAAACAAACAAACAAAAAGAATAAATAAATAAATACTGAAAAACAGTTGGGTCACTTTCGGCCTCAGGCCAAAAGGCCCCTCCACTTCTCTCCTGTGGCCTCCCATTCTTCCCTCTTTCCCAGACTTTACTGATGGGTATGAAAGCCACGGGATACCAGGACTGGCAATTTCCATGGAAGGAGAAGGATAGATGGCAAGGGAACAAAAGAGAATTTCTGCTGCCTCTTTCCTGATGAGAAACGTTTGTTGGCAAGCTTGGCCAGTCCGGTAATGTTCTCTGGGGGTGGGTGGTGTGTGGTAAGCAGGCTTGACTGCCTGTCTTTGGAGAAGGCTGAGCATAAGTGGTGAGCTTCTCTGTTCTGGCCTGTTGCCCAAGGCAGAGAAGGAGCCAAGACCATATGGTTCAGGTAGTTGGCACATATGTAATTAAGTCAGAGGGGAATCCTAGTCTGAGTTTGGGATGGTCCCACATCCTGGCACAGCAGAAGAGGAATATGACTCCACTCCCTAACATCTCCCTGATGTGGCCAGGAAAATAAATAGAGGCAGGAGTCTAGTCCTATGGCCATGGTCTGGCCCCCAGGAAATTCAGGCATAATGACTCTCATCCTGGTCTTGGGTCCCCAGGTCTGCAGACACAGACCAAGCACCTTGCTCCCCAGCGATGGGCAGAAATTAGGGGAGGAGAGGGAAAGGGGCATTCCCAATCCCCAAAAGGTAGTTACCATAATCCACACCTGTTGGAATTGTGAGGTCCGTGTCTTGTTGGATAGGGTTTCTGTAAAAGGACAAATGATGAGGTGGCCTCCTGGTCTTCCCAGGTCTGCCAAGATAGAAGAACACCAAGCTCTGTCTCAGAGCTGGAAAGGGTATTGCCTGAGATAGTCCCCTATCCGCTTAGGCAGGGGCAGTTGGTCAACCTCAGCAGTGAGCCTGTTGATGGCGAGCCGGCACAAATGCTGTAGGCTTGGGGCGCTGCTCTTCCGGACAAAGGGCTGGATGAGTTTTAGGTGGACAGCAGCCACTGCTGCCGTGGTGGGAACCGTGTCCTTGTGGCTGGGCAGGAGCGAGGCAGGGGGAGGGTAGGGGGTGTCGTTCTTGCCGTCAGTTGTGCAAGAGGTGACATAATGCTGGATGAGGCTGACCACATCCGGGAAGGCCAAAATCCGTGGCTTGGACAGACAGTTTGAATCCAGCCGGAACTTGCTGTCAGCATACTCTATGCGAACGTTGGTGGGGCCCCTGTTGGTCTTGACGGAGAGTGTGAACAGATAGCTGGGGTGGGTGCTGTCCCGTACCAAGAAGGTACCCTCAGGCATCTTCTGAAGGTGCTGCTTGGCCTCGCCTGCTGTGAGAGATCCCCAGTACCAACCTGGTGGCCAAGAGCAGAGAGAACCAAGGCTGGTGATTTTAAATACTACTCATGTAGTTACCCACTGGCCCACTCCCACTGGGAGAGAAAAGGACCATCCCAGGGAAGCAGCAAAGATTCCATTCTCATTCATAGGGAGGGGAAAGGGGCATTGTTGTCATTGTTAATAGCTCACATTTCTAAATACTAAATACTCTAAAGCTTTTAAAGTGTTTTTCCCATAACAAGCCTATAAGGTAGCATTTCCAGAGCAGATAGACAAGAGAGAGAACATTTGGAATATTGGGATATTTCTAGTGCGATGTATGGAAAGATAAAGGACATCCTCCCAGGATATCCTCTTTCTGTACCTGCATTAGATCAGGGCCTTGCTGGGGCCTGGGGCCATGTCACTCCCTTCTGACTTGGAGGTCCCTGAGGGTAGGGAAGTTTTTAGCCCTCTCATAGGAGTTTCCCTAGACAGGAACTGTTTCAGTGTCCTCCTCCCTCTGTCTCTGTCCCTCAGGCCAGGCATATTCCCAGACTGGGCTCTCAATAAATGAGAGCCTGATGCTCATGTCTTTAGGGAGAGGATCACTCACCAGATTCCCGCAGGTAGGTGAACGTCTTGGCAATGCACAACAAGTCTTCCTCGGGGTCACGAACTTGATGCAATTCATTCTCCATTAGGGCTGGAGCCTCCTCCTCCTCTTGGAAGGAGGTCACAGACAGGGGTTGCATGACTGGCTCTGGTAATTCAGCTAGCCCAGGTACCGTCAACCCACCAAGCCTCTCTTCTTCCAGTAAAGGACGGGGTCTGAAAGGAAGGATGCTCTGTTGTGAATGGAAGGTTCCATGGACTGCCTTCTCTGGCTCCCTTCCCTCTCCTCAGTAATCACATGTGCAACCTCCATCATACACTCACCAACACTTTGGTTGTCCACCACTCTCTCCTCTAATGCCTCTAAATATAAGAATCTAAGCGTGCCACCTAGGGTTTGTGGTGCCCTTGAACACACACACACACACACACACACACACACACACACACACACACACACACCCCTTCAAAAAAATTCATAGCCCCCAGCAGCTAACAACTATGTTAACACAAAGCTCTTTACTCCATGTATTGTTCCATTTGAGCCTCACAACTCTATGAGATAGGTACCATAGGTATTATTTTAACCATTACACTGAAGAAGAAATGGAGACTCAGATGGATTAAGTGACTCACCCAGTGTTGCAAAGCTAGTAAGTGTCAGAAGTGGGATCTGAACCTAGGTCCCTTCACTCCCAAGTCCAACACTCTATCTGCCATATCAGAGGACCTTTCATAAAACCATTACCTGTCCTGACTTCCTCACAGGGTTGTTGGGAGAAAAACTAAGACAATGGTTATGAATATGCTTTTCAAAAGAAATGCCTTCTAAATTTTCAAAGTCAGGCCTCAGGACAGTTCCAGGCCTCAGGGAACAAGCCCTGGCAACCAAGAAGAGAGGTGTGAGCAGCCCTGACTGGGAGAATGAGCTGAGGTGACCAACTGTTAGTATCACCTCAGTGTCCCTAGTTTAGCTTACTCCAGATGCTGTGCCTTCCCCACATGACAGATAGTCCCAGGTAATGTGGCTCAGTGAGGAACGGGACACCTGGGTAGCCTGCCTGCCTTGGTCTCAGTCCTCACTGTGTGAGTGAGAACAAAAAAGGAATTCAACACAGTTGGAGAAGGGCTGGGAAAGGAGGTAGGAAGAAGGAGGCATCTCAAAGTCCTGGAAAGAACACTGGTTCTTAAACGATCAATGCAATGACCCAGCCATCGTTCCAGAGTACCGATGATGAAACGTGCTACCTTTGGATGATGGACTCAAGACGCATACATTTTTGGACATGACCAATGTGGAAATTTATTTTGCTTGACTATGCATACTATTAGGATTTTCTGTTTTTCCTGTTCTTTTTAAGGGAGTGTGGTGGATAGGAGGGAAAAAAATGCTTATTAAGAGTGAAGGAATAAGTGTTTAAATAGCATCTACTATGTACCAACCACTATGCTAAGCACTTTTGCAAATCTCCCCTGGGAGGGAGGTGATATATTACCCCCATTTTACAGTTGAGGAAACTAAGGCAAACAGAAGTTAAGCAATTTGCCCAGGAATCACACAGCTAGTAAGTATCTGAGGTCGGATTTGAACTTGGCCCTTCCTGACTCTAGGCACAGTACTCTATTCACTGTGCCATCTGCTGCCTCTAACTACAAAAATTAATTAATTAAGTTTTGAAAAGATCATTGGTTTGGGAGTCAAGAAGCCTGGGTTCTATTCTTGGCACTGTCACTGCTTTTTCTGTGACATTAGGCAAATCCCTCTGTGGGTTTCAAGGCCTGCCTCTGTAAAATAAGGGTCCTGTTTTCTAAAAAACCTTCAGTTCTGACATTGTAGGATTCTATGAGGAAAGGGAAGGAGTAAATTCACAGCTCACATTTCTATGGCATCTTAAGCTTTTTGATGTGCTCTCTCTCTCTCTACACACACACACACACACACACACACACACACACACACACACACACACACACACACACACACACACGTATATATTAGCTCATTTGATCCTCAAACAAACTTGCTGGGCGTCGGACAGGGATGTAGGTGTATTTTCCATGCCAATTTTATAGCAGAAGAAAACTCTGGCCCAGGGAGTTCAAGTCACTTGCTTGTAATTACAAAGCATGTATCTGAAATAGGATTTGAACCCAGTCTTTCCTGATTCCACCTCTTTCTACTACTCCATATTGGCTATCCGGCAAAGATGTAGGATGAGGAAGAAGAATGAAAGTAGGAGAGAAGAATAAAAAGGAGAAGGATGAGAAGCAGCACTGGAATTCTGAGTGATGGCTTTATATGGAGTGGAGGGAGAAGAAGGGGAAGATTAGACCCAGAAAGAAGGGTTTTCTGGAAATCATCTGGAGATGAGATATGACCTTGGGACAGGCTTAATTATCCTTTTGCTCATTAATCCCCTTCCCTGTAATGCTGTGGTAACAGACATGCACACACATACATAGAAATACACACCTTTAGGTCTTTTCTGTCTTACAGCTTCTCCCATTATTCCTGTTATGCTGGGCTTTGGGGGCAGGGGCCCTGCCAGCCACATACCTTCCAAGAAGCTGACATTCTAATGGGGGAAGGCCTTCCAGAGGTACACCCACCTACGGGCATGTCCATGTGTATCCCCGGGATCCCCCACTCCACCATGGACCTACTGTGCATTTCTATAGGCTCTCATTATATGTGGTCACATGTTTGCACTGGAGTGTTAGGAGTCTGCAAACGTGTAGATCTATAAGTATGCCTATACATGCATATGTAGGTGTAACCACACCCATGTGTTATACGTTTAATAGTCTTGTCATGCTGGCTAGTGGTATAGGCCCGGGAGCATCAGCCTTGTGTAATGGGAAGAGCATTAGTTTGAGAGTGAGAAGGCCTAGGCTCTAATCCTACCTTAGACACTTAGGTGTGACCTTGGACAAATGACTCCTTTTCTCTGGGCTTCAGTTCCTCCCCTCCCCCACATAAAATGTCAGGGTTATACTAGAGTCATATGTTCCCAAAGTGGGTGATACCATCCCCTGGGGAGCACTGGAATGATGGGAGGGCGGTAGTAGTTTGAAATGATGAAAATTTTTTTAACAAAACCATTAGAGGGTTAAAGAAAGTAGATTCCCATGGGGGCAGGGAGTGATTTTTTTTTTTAAAGGGGGAGGTAGGCCAGAACCTCTAGACTAGATGATCTCTAAGGGACCTTCTATCTCTAAGTCCTATGACCTTTGCATAGCTGCTGATTGATGCTGTGAGCCTAATGATGGGATGTCCGGCCATGTGCTTGGCTCCTGGAAAGGAATGGAATTGGGCTTGGAAAGTTGGGGGTGGGGGAGGATGGATTAGAAGAATTTTGTTGTTGCTACAGTTCAAAGGTAGACAGATGTCTTCAGAATGAGTAGGCAGGAAAATGGGAAACTGGTTCCCCTCCAATGCAGCTCTTGCCCCAGCAGGACAAGGAGCCCAAAGAGGAGCTCAAAGCTCAAAGGAAGCCAGGTTACCAGCCTACCCTAGAGCCAATCTGTGCCTCCTGCCAAGCATGAAACATGGAACAAAGTACACGAAGGTCTGAGGCCCAGCAAGCCAAGCAGACTACGCAGGGGCCAAGGAAGACTAGGGGAGAAGGACAGAGGCCTAGATGGTTCACAGGGACTGGGGGAAGAACTGGAAGTTGTTCCAGGGCTAGGTTTAGGGCGGGGACTTTCTCAGAAGAATAGGGAGAAGGGTTAGGGGGTCTAATAAGTAAAGAAAGGCGGGGGGCCATTAAGGTAAGAGGAAATGGTCGTGGTGGCTAAAATCTCTGCTGTCTACCATCAGCATCACTTGGCTACCCCTAATGTTAAGAAGTGGTGAGGATGAAGGGAGATAGAAAGAGAGGAAAAGAGGGACAGATGGAGGAAGGGGGGAAGAGAAGTCAAGATGGAGAAAGGAAGGAAGGAAAGAAGAAAAGAAAAATAAGTGGGAGAAAAGGAAGGAAGAAGACAGGAGAGAGGAAAGGAAGATAGGAGGGAAGGAAAAGATAGAATGAGAGAAGAAAATGAAGAAAAGAAGGGAGAAGAAAAATAGAGAAACAGAAGAAAAATCCTTTCCTCTATCTATTTCTTTTCTTACTTAAGGGGCAGAAAAGATAGCAGCCAATAATCCCCAAAACTCCAGCCATCACTGCCTTCCTTGGACTTCTGCTGAACTCTTTCCCTGGCCAGGAAGGAGAGGGCAGTACAAAAGGAAGGGCAGCCTGCTAGATGTTGGGATGAGGAAGGATAGGAAGGAGACCTGAGCATCAAAAGCCAGGTAACAAACAGACCAATAAATCTGGGGGGTTTGGTTTTACAATCTCCAAATTTGCTCTTCTTTCCTTTCTCAGTTAGTCCTAAGTTTAAAAAGAAAAATGCTGGAAAGGGACGGAGAAAGTGGGCAAAGGAAGGGAAACACAGTTTGGGAAAAGGTAAAGAAAGTCTTGGCTTTTGAGTGATAGGAAATAGCAAGTCTAATGACCCTTTCCCTCCTTCCGGAGAAAAGTCAGGCTGAGAACAGAGAGAAGTCCCACTGGCTTTCCTTCTTCTGGGCTCATTATGACTAATTACCCCAAAGAGATAAGAGCTAGGGTGATATATTAAATTTTGAGAGTCTCCCAAGGAGGACCTGAGAAGGCCTAGATGGTCAACAGCTGGAAAGGACCTTAAAAAAGCATCTGGTCCTACTCCCTCCTCTAGGACAGATGGGTAAACTAAGGCTCAAAGACAGGCAGAGCCTTGCCTAAGTTCACTCAGTGAGAACTGTAGGGTCTTGATTACCAGATCAGGCAGGGCACCTTCCACTACTCCATGGCCCCCAGCACTAACAACATTAGTTGAGAGGTTTCCCACCAGACTAGGGCACCGTCTCAGATGGAAAGAAATAGGGTAAGGGGGTTCTTAAGGGCGCAGGAAACAGGAAGGTCACGTCCCATCTCTTCTCTCTAGGTGGGACTTTCCTAAGTATCTTTTACATCTACCTAGGATAGTTTTCTGGAGTGTTTTCACCTCTGCCTTTCCCTTTTCGGTCTCGGCCTTTCTCAGAAAGCAGCCTCTCCAAGTCCTAGAAAAGTCTCTACCACCACATGCATTGGGTCAAGGGGAGCCGACAGCATTTGTTTGCTAGCCATACCTTACCCACCTCCATTCTCCATAATCACCCTGTCTGGGAGCAAGATCCTTGGAGCAAACAGCCCCTCAGGCCAATCTGTATTTGCTGGAAGGGACGGGTGACCCGAGAGCCTTCAAACCTACAGACACCATTTGGGACTTCCCCGAGCGCTGACAAACGTGGGGGACGGGGAAGGAGATGGATATAGAAGAAAGAAGGGAATAGCGGGTACACACACGGACGGGACGGGGGGTGTCTCTTACCCTTGGATGCAGAAGATCATGTCCCGGCGGGGCTTCAGGGAGGCCAGCCGCGGTCTCCCCCCCGAGTCCTTTTTCTCGCTCCCTCTTGTGTCCTGGTCCGGTGCGAGGGATGTATGGCGGAAAGAGAGGCTGTTCCTGTGGCGCTCAGGGAATAACCCGGGAAAATGTTAGCCGCGTCTCCAGGCTTCGGGCTCACTCACTCGAACTTCAGCCAGGCGTCCACAGGGCTTGGGGCTTAAGTAGGGGCTCAGGGCTCACCGGGGCTCCTGGTTCGGTGGCCTCCTCCCTAAAGCCGGCTCTAAGAAAAGGACTAGGGTGCTAAGGGTTCCTGCAGCCAGCCGCGAGAAGCTCTGAGAAGGGCTGTCTGATCTCCTTCCCAAAAAACTCAGGCGTCCGGCCCAGGCCAGAGACTCAGCACCGCCAGTCAGACAGCCAGTCTAGGAAGAAGACAGCGGGAGGATTCCCGAGCCCAGAAAACACAACCTTCACCGTGGCTGCCACTTGCTGTAATGAGCTGAGGGGAAGCAAAGAGAATGAGTGAGGGCGGGGAGAGGCGAGGGAGGGGGAGGAAGGGGGAGGGGGAAACGCACCACTGACTAATCTTTTGTTTGCCTCTTTTAATCTATTCCAGGAAGCAGTGGATTCCGGGAATTATATTGTATTCACATCACTGTTCCGACCCGATAGAGAGAGAGAGAGAAGAGAGAGAGAGAGAGAGAGAGAGAGAGAGAGAGAGACAGAGAGAGAGAGACAGAGAGAGAGAGAGAGACAGAGAGACAGAGACAGAGACAGAGAGAGACAGAGAGAGAGACAGACAGAGAGAGACAGAGAGAGAGACAGAGAGAGAGAGAGAGAGAGAGAGAGAGAGAGAGAGAGAGAGAGAGAGAGAGAGAGAGAGAGAGAGAGAGAGAGACTTTGTTGTATAAATAGAGTCCCTGTGGACAGGGAGACCCACGATGGCAGGCTGTTGAGCTGTCCCCGGGGACTATGGCTCCACAGTGAAGGGCAGGATCCGCAGAGGACCTTGTTGAGTGCGCACTGTCTGAGAGCGAGAGGAGAGGGAGGGAAGGAGTAAGGCAAACAGAACGTCAAGGAAAGAGTTGGTCTATTCCCCGGGACCCAGTTGCTAAAGCGATTGGAGCACTTCAGGCTGAGCTCTAGGCTGGGCTGCGAGTGGAGTCCTTGGCCTGCAGTTAACCAGAGTCGGTGAAAGGAAATACCTTTGATAGATTTCCAAGAACTTTCCAGGAAAACAGGGCTGGGCTAGGGAGGCCATCCAATGGAAGAGCAGAGAGGCTGGGCCAGGCGAGTAAACCGACCAATGGCAGCGCCCTGAGGCTGGCTGTAAGCCCAGGAATTAGGTCCCCCCCCCTTTTCCCTCCCTGCTCCCCGCCCCAGGAGAGAGAGGGGAAAAAGAGGGAGAGACGAAAGGAAAAGAGCCAAGGGGGGGAAAAGGATAGAAAGTGAGAGGAGAGAAAGGGACAGAGAGAAAACAGAGGGAGAGGGAGGCAAGAAGAGGACGGGAGAGAAAAAGAGCAAGAGGAGGACCGAAGGTTAGGTCTAGGATTGGTTTAGACCTGCCTAATGGTGCTGATTTGTTCTGACAGCTCCTGTTTGTCGGCGGGTAGATTATCTCTCCTCTGGATCATTCTTTCTTCCCACTTCTCATTCCATCCCTGTGCTGAGGTACCCTGCTAAGCACTATCAGTCCTTGTTGAGTTCAGAGAAGGCAAATCCGCCACCATAAACCCGGAGGAATGAAGTGGGAGAGACCACTGTTGGTGAACCTGGCAGGAAGAATCCTATCACAAAACCAAGCAGAAGTAAGTTCTCCATAGTTACGGTTATCTGTGTTGCTACTCAACTCAGTGCAGAAAACTGAGATTGCTTAACTGCCTGGAAATACAACGGGAGCAATGAGGAGGTATACATATACATACTTAGCCTTTTCAAGAGTTTGAAGGTAGAGGGAGAACCCAAATGCGTTGAGATGGTTCCTCAGTGACCCAGCTCTCTAGAAGTAATGCCTGTGCAAGTCAGGCCAGGAATCCTCTGGCCTAGGGCTCCTCTGGGACAGGGCTGAAGATTGGGTCCAAAATGAAAAACTCACTCCTCCTCTCCCCCACCTCCTTTCTCCCACCGACCCACTGGCAAGAGGACTGGAAGGCACAAATTGATTTAAGGTCTTTTTTCTAATAGATTCCAGATCTTTTGCAGGATCTGTTGGTGCCAGTGACACATGCATTTAAATTTATAGAAAGAATTGTATATGAGTTCATATTTATATACCGTGTCCCTTGCATACCTTTTGTTTTCATTCAATATCTTATAGGGCAGGAATCCCTAGGAGACTGCCTGACATAGAAGAAAAAGCACACTGGATTAGGGTAGAAATTTAGCACTGCTAAATTAAAAATCTGCTGGCTATGTGACTTTAGGCAAGTCATTTCCCTTCCTCTGCTCTCAATTTCCTCATTGGTAAAATGAATGGGTTGGATTAAAATCTCTCCCAGCTCTAAACACTCTGATGCTATTTGACAGGTGAAGAAAATAAAACTGAGAACACGTGCAACTTACCCAAATTCACATTTAAAAGTAGAGTTACAGTGCCACCAGACCTAGAAGGCAGCTAGTGACACAGTGGAGAGACCCCTGGGCCTGAAATTAGGAAGAACTGAGTTCAAATGTGACCTCAGACACTTACTAGCTGGGTGATCCTGGGCAAGTCACTGTACCTCTGTTTGCCTCAGTTTCCTCATCAGTAAAATGGGGATAATAATAGCACCTACCTCCCAGGGTTGCTGTAAAGATCAAATGAGACATTTGTAAAGGGCTTAACACAATGTCTGACACATAGTAGGAGCTGTTTAAACTGTTTATTCCCTCCCCACTCCCCCTTACCTCAAGTCAGCTCAATGGAAAGAAGGTCCTCAGGAGGTCATGTACTCCATTGATTTATTTGACGGAAAGGGATAATGAGTTCAAAAAAGACTGACTCGTGCAAAGTCACAAACTGAATAACTAACCCAGCTGAAATGCAAACCAGGGCCTCTACCTGGAAAGCCAGTACTCTTCCATTGTACCATGCTATCTAGGTGCTATAATGGTTAGAGACCTAGGTCTAGAGTCAGGAAAACTTGGGTTCAAATCTAACCCCAGATACCTACTGGCCATGTGACCCTGGGCAAGTCACTTAACCTTATTTGTCTCAGTTTCCTCATCTGTAAAATGAGCTGGAGAAAGAAATAGCAAACCACTCTAGTATCTTTGCCAAGAAAACCCCAAATGGGGTCATGAAGAATCAGACACAAATGAAAATGACCAATCAACAACATCTACTGTGTGCCAGGTACTGTGTGTGTGCTAGGCATTAGAGCTATGAAGAAACGAGTAGAATGGTCCCCACTCTTAAGGAGCTTTTGTTCTGAAGCAGGGGCAGTGTATCAAGGAAACATGTACACAGATAAATAAGTTCCAATTATATACAAAAAAATACAAGATTGTTTTCCCCCTCTCATCTTTAGTTCCAATCTCTATCTATAGGTTTCCTTTTAAAAAAAAAGTCCATATTTCCCTCATTCTTTTAAAAAAAACAAAACCACAAAACCCTCACGCCTGATCTTACCATACCTGGCTGGCTAGTCAACTTCTACAGGATATTACAAAAGTCTTCATGCCATTTTACACTTTTAAAGCTCTTTCATGGCTAACTTCCTTGAGAAAACCATTTGCAACCTACATGCAGTTTCTCCATTTTTTCTCCTCTCTCTCTTCTAGAATCTCTGCACTTTGTCTTCCAGCCTTATTATTCAATAGAAACTGACCACTCCCAAGTTACCGATCTCTTCATTTCCAAGTTGAACACCCTCCTCTCAGTATTCATCCTTCCTGACCTCTATTCTCTCCTCTTGAATACAATCTTCTCCAGGCTTTTGTGATGCTATTCACTACCGTCTGACCACTCCTCAGTCATCTTTGCTTGTTTTTAATCCATGGAGTATCTACTGTGTGCATCCCTCAAGGCTCCATCCTGGCCCCCCTTTCATTTTTGATCTATATAATCTCACTCGGTGATCTGATCACCTCCCACGAGTTCAATGATCACCTCTAAGAAGATGACTCCCAGATCTGTATACACGGCCCTAGTCTCTTTCCTCAGCTACATCATCTATTGCCTATTGGACATCTCCAATTGTATGTCCTGTAGGCAGGCATCTCAACCTCAACATGTCCAAAACAGAATTCACTATCTTTCCCCCTAACCATCCCCCCACCCAAGTTGGTGTCAACTTTAATTCCTCTGTCAGTCATCCCCTGTATTAAATCCATTGCCAAATCTTGTTTATCTTCACATCTCTCACACATATCTCTTCTCTCTATTCACACTGCCACTACTCTAGTATAGTATCTCCTCTTGCCTTGATTATCAAAATAACATTTCGACTAGTCTCCCTTACTAAGTCTTTTTCTACTCCGATTCATCCTCTGTTCAGCTGCTAAGATGATTTTTCTAAATTATAGATATATAGGGCAGCTAGATGGTGCAGTGGATAGAGCTCTGGCCTTGGTGTCAGGAGGACCTGAGTTCAAATTTGACCTCAAACACTTGGCACTTGCTAGCTGTGTGACCTTGGGCAAGTCACTTAACCCTGATTGCCTCAGCAAAAAATTAAAATTAAAAATAAAATATAGATATGACCATATGTCACTGCCCTGCTCATTGATCTTCAGTAGCCCCCTATTATCTCAAAGATCAATAAAATAAATAACATTCTCTGGAATTTGAAGCCCCTTATAACCTGGCTACTTCCTACCTTTCTAGTCTTCTTACACTTTATTCTTGTCCACAAACTCTATAATCCAGTGGTATTGACCTACTTGCAACTCCTTACATATTCCATCTACTCTTTCCATGCCTCTACGTTGACTGTCTTCCAGGCCTAGAATGCTCTCATTTTCCCCTCTTGACTTTGTTGGCTTCCTCCAAGACTCAGTTCAAATTCTGTTTTCTGCAGAAGACCTTTCCTACTTCCTCCCAGGTTCTAATGCCTTCCCCTCTCAAAGGAAAACTCTCTATATTTAGAAGGTACCAAGTTATTTGCATATTTTCTGTATTAGAATGTAAGCTCTTTGATTTGCTCTTTTTTTGGTATCCTCAGCACTTATATAGTACCTGGCACATAATAAATATTTAATATGTGCTTATTGACTGAAGTAATTGAGGGGAGCACTGAGAAATGGGGGAAATAGGAAGGGCCTCTTGAACCCACATCTCCTGACCCCCCACTATAATGCTGCTTCTTGCCCCTACCTCCTAGCCGGGGGTGGAGAATCTTTGGCCTCATGGCCAAATCCCTTGTTCCCTACCCCCGTAGACCTAGGCCCTTCCCACAATCCCCACTGGCACTGGTCCTTTTTAGTCAGCCACTCATTTCAGTGGGCACTGTGGGTAGGAACAATTTCCTGGTTGCCTGTGTTGGTCCAGAGAGAGGAGAGCTAATCCCTATCTTTCTGGAGTTGAGAGTTGAAGTGGAGAGGTGATGGAGAAGCAGTCACAGTGTCTTGGGGCCAGCCCTGGACTAGAAATCAGGAGACCTGGACTCTAGTAACTTCCTGTGAAACCTTAGATAAATCAGTTTCTTCCTTTGTAAAATAAGTGGGTTTGATTAAAGGATTTCTAAGGTCCCTTCCAGCTCAAAGTTCCAAGTTCTTATCTTTATTCCTTAAAAGCCCTTCATGTCACCTCCTTCATGAAGCATTCTCTGATTTCCCCTTAAGGCTTTGCCTAAATGGATCTGCCCAAGCCACATGCTACTTTTTGTCATGTTTGAGTATGTGTTGTATCACCCCCCCACACACACCCAAACACGTTATATTGTGAACTCTTTGAGAGTAGGGACTGTGTCATGTTTTTCATCCTTATATCCTTTTGTTGATGGGATTAAATCCAACACAATTCTTAACCCTATCCAAAGAGCTGGAGCATTATGGCTGAAACAAAAATTCAACCATGATTCTTGAAAAATCAGTCAACCTGGATCCACAAACCAGTAGCAACTCCTGAATCTGAGAAGACAGAAGAAGAAAGAGAGCCTAAAAGGTAGCAGGGGCTACCTTAGGTGGCTCTGACTCTTCTTGGGAGCCTTTTCATGAGGGATGGGGTGTGCAGGTTAGGTGGTTAATATACTT